AATGGAAGAAAGCATCCCACCCAACAACTCTCTATAATTATTTCCTTTTGTAATTTTTTTCATGTTGTTGATGTTAATACTTAATGGTTTTAGAAGAAATAAATCTTAGATTTGAAAACCTTGTGCATGTTTCTTTGTTTTCTAGGAAACACATGTTTTATATCCATATGATTTCATAAAAAAAATTCAAAAGTTTAATGGTTGTTGTCTCTTTAGAATGGTTTAGCTATCAAGATTTGATAACAACAACCATAATTTTTGTAGGTTGTCGTTACCTTCACTTCTCTGATTGATAAATTGGTAACTTCCATTTTCCAAATTGGAGGACCAGTGCAGTTACCATTTTTGAAATTGCATTAACTTTCCAACCTGAAGAAATCCAAGTTATTTAGTAGTGAATTAAGTTTACGGTGCGGGTAGATTTATATAAGTTTTTGCAATTTCCTTCTGGGACATTAATATTTTAAAGGATGATCTGTGTGTGATTTTTCAAAATCAAGGGAATTTTGGATGATAGAACTATTTGGTAGTCATGTCTCTTGTTCTCTCTCTACCAAGATTGAAATACATGTTGTAGGTGTAGTGTAGTCATACGAGCTTTATCATGTAAATAACTCAAATCTCGTGTTTATCTATATTTGGTACCGATGAGTTGGATTATTTCCCCGCAATACTATTTCATATGGGTTGAGTGCTTTCTTCATATTCCTTTTTTTGATATACTAAAATCCTCTTGAATCGAATGCTGCACTGTTTTGGTTGTCATTTTTCTTTCTCTAAATGTAGGGAGCTTGCAAAAGATTTTGTCGTAGCTGGCACTGCTCAGAGTCTCTTTATGGTGCTTGCGAGTCAATGTTCAAGGAGGACATGGTTTGTCTTTTCATTTATTTCTCTGTGCTTAAATTGAAACACTTACATAGTAGTGATGAATCCTTTTAGGAGCATAACTTTGTTCCTCATATGCTTGTAACCTAAAGCTTCATTGTTCCCATTTTTGGAGTATAGATAAGGGTTACAGTTGGTTGGAAATAATTAAAAGTATTATGGTTGTTGGTTATTAAATTATTCATGCCAGGAATTCAATTCTACTTGATTGACTCAATATTTTTCTTATTCAGGAACCTGAGGAATTATTTGAAACAGTGTCACAAGCTCTCCTTTCATCAGTAGATCGTGATTGTCTTAGTGGTTGGGGAGGACATGTATATGTTGTGTAAGTATTACAGACTTCCTTACATTTTTGTTGGTAATTCTTTTCCTAGGGTCATATTTGTTATAGGGTTTGCCCAAAAGGATCTTGTTAACACTGTTATCAATTTTACTTGTTTGCAACCCATACTGAAAGTGCCTGTGGGCTTGGTCAGGCCTATAAATGGTATCAACACCACAAATATTAGCTTGATCCGAAATATGGACATCAAATTTGCCCAAATTCGTCCATATATGTAAATGGTTAATCAAAGCATGTATAAGCCTGTCCATTTCCACCTAATTTGTCCAAATGCTCCAGGCGACCCTTCTGGCTTTGAGTGGGTAGCTCTGCCTTTGGGCAAGTCTAACCAATATCCAATACGCAAAGATTAAATAAATACTTAGTTCTCTTGAATGTTGATATATTGGTACGTCTGGATAACTGAAATCCATGAATAATTGCTGTAGAGATAATTGGTGCCATCGTAATGTATTTGATATATAAATTTGCAGGACACCTACAGAAGTGAAGGAAAGAATCTTGAAGGGAAGGATGGATTGAGCGAAGCCAAGTGGTGCGCAAGATTCTTCATTTCCAGACTTGAAAACTCTGTTTATTTTCATTTGTTTGTGCTCATCAAAAACATGTGTAGTAGACTTTTAAGGTACGATTTCCATACATCCCAAGAGAGACTAACCAAGCCAAGTATCCAGGTAATAAAGTGCACAATTTACGTATATTAGCAAACCCGTAGCTATAATTTTGAATTGATAATGGATGATGTAATGTAATGAGAGATGTGCATTATACGTCTTACTTATGGGTCCTACTTTACTTGTAAACAACAAAATAGAATTTCAAAATCAATTGATTAATGTAAGAACGTGATATAAACTTAAAATTTGGATCTAACTAACTTGAATATCGAGTGTTAAGAATTGAGCTCCATTCAAGTGAACCATTACCGGATTCCCGGTTTCGAGTAATGAATTTTATAAAATATTAAATGAGCCTTAAACTTGAAGTTTTAAAAATAACTTAAGCTAGAATGACCTAAGCGGTCTAAGAAAAAAATATGCTATAATAATAGACAAAAAACGTGAAGACTAAGTAAACAGAAAGTATAACTTAAATTATAAGAAAGATGAGAAAAACAATTTAAAATCAATAAAATCAATATTGTCACTAATGATAAAAATATATATATGGTGTTCTTCTTGATGCTGAGTTGTGGGTTATCTATGAAGGTCTCTCTTTAGCTTGGAGGTTGGATTTACGTCAAATCATTGTCGAGACAGATAGTAAAGATGCTTTATATGCGATTGATAATGGTATGGCTTCTAATGGTGGTTTTTCGATGGTTCCACATCTCTTGAACCTTATTGATGGCAGGTGGAATTTGAAGTTCTCCTTCACTCCTCGTGGTATTAACAGTGTTGCTGATGCTTTGGCGCATATGGCTTGGTCGCTTCCTTTTTGTCTGCATGTTTTCTATTTAACTCCGCCTGAGGTTGCTGCGAAGCTGGTGAAAGGCGAGCAGAGCGTTCGTGATTTTACTGCTTTGGAATAATTTATTTATTTCCTCCTTTACATTCAATATATATATATAGAAAAACTAAAAAATAAACTATACTGGAGGGCACAAACTCTTTTTCTCAAACCAGCTAGAATTTACAGTAATTTGGTTTAGAAGCTTTGAACCCATGTACTATTGAAAGAGAAAGGTTGCCATGCCTTAGCCATTTAGACTAGGGCACTATTCAATGTTTAATTTTGAAGCTTTTAGTCTTAAAATATTTCTTAAGACCCAAAAAGAAAAAACCCATTTATTTTTCCCGTAGAAATCATCCCCAATGTTTACAAGCTTCACAAGTTCGTCCATCCAAAACCCCCTGTTATTGTCAAAGCTCCGATGAACAACATCTGGCCGACGGTGAAGTGCATCTTCGTCGTCATTAGCTTCAACTTCAATCAGAGATCCAACCTAACCCTCAATTCACCGATTCGGCCACCGTTTGTTGCAATTTGGAAGAAAACTGTTCGGTTCTCCTCGCCTCGGGTCGTCGTTGTCGTTGATCGATGTTCGTCATGACTATCCCTATCAGGCGCTCCAGGCAACCGTGAACCATCCCCTGCCAGCCACTCTTCACCAGCCGCTGTCGTTCGTTGGGGAGAGACGTTTGAAAGCTTCACCGAAAACCTATTTTTCTCCCCTCGATTTCTCGCAGTATCTGGCCATTCCAACCATCGGTTAGCCGCACCGCCACCTCAGTTAGACTCCCCATCGTCGTCCGCTCAAAACCCAAATGGTGGGTCTAGTCGTCGTCGTCGTTTTCCTCGTCGTCGGCGTGGGTAAGCTCGGGTTTATATTTCAGTTAATTTTCTCTCGGTTTTGCTTGGTTTTGGTTTATTTTTTGTTTAAATCTTGGTTGATATGGTGTTTGGATGCTCCCGGAGTGCTTGACTGACCAACCCGACCCCGTCGTCGCTGCCATGCATCGTCGCAAGCGTGTGGCGCTCCTTCCCGACCTTAAAACATCCTAGAACCGATTCGAGTCAACTCAAATCGAATTGAGTCAACACGAATCGGCCTGAATCAGCTCGAACCGAATTGAGTCAACCTAAATCGGCCTGAGTCAACCCGAACTGGTCTGACCCATTGACCTTGACCCGAACCGTTGACTTTGACCTGATTGATCTACCCGTTCTCTTTGACTGTTAACCGTTGACTTTGACCAAAAAGTCAAAATTTATGAAAAAAATCATATTTTATGTTCTTTGGCGTTCTGAGTCTGAATCCAAAGTCCGTTTTTCCAAATACAAACTCGGTAAGCTATTTTTGACATTTTATCTCCCGATTCAATACGAATTTTCACGTTTAACTTTTGTTTCTAATGTAATTGGTTTTGCCATGTATCCAAGACGTTATGGGATGTGAAATTAAAGTTCGAGGGCGATCAAAAGGAATTTAATTGGTTATCCGTTATGGCTCCTAAATCGAGGTAATACTCTACTATCTTTTGTATGCTTTTCGAAACTAATTGATAATTGATAAATGCATGAATGGAAATGATTGGTCAATTATGTGTATTTAATTATCATTGGGCTCAAACTGAATATGGAATAAAGGCGGAACACTGTATAAGACTTAGACGGCTCGCAGAAGAAATTGGTTGATCGATCGTAAATAATTCTAAGTTCAGTGATTAGATAGTAAATAAATTGACCTTAGGATCCAAAATTCTAATTAATTTCTTTACAGGTTAAATGTCGGGAATACTAGATTAAGAAATTACAAAAATAGCTCTATGGAGTAAAATTAAAAAAATGCCCTTGTACTGTAAGAAGACCAAGATTGCCCCTGAATGTGAAAAATAACCCAGAAATGACATACTTAACCAAATTACCAAAAAAAATGCATATGTTTGGATTGAAAGGAATTACCGAAATGTCATCAAGCTGTAAAATAACTAAAATAACCTCCGATATTCAAATGACTGAAATACCCCTTAACACTAAAAGGATTATAATACCTTGAACTCTAAGATGATCAAAGTAATTGTAACACCCCTAACCTGTATCCGACCCGGATACGAATCCGAGGTGTCATATTGACTTTTCAAAACATTTACTTTTAAAAAGTTTTGTTGGAAATCTAAAACTATTGTTTATATTAAACTAAAGGAACCCTTAAATAAAATTATTAACGAAATTCAAACGCAAATTGAAAATAAAACTTAATAATTTACATAAATACATTTAAGTATTTTTACAAAGTAAAATCAGAGCATATACGATTTAAACATCTAATTACATGCCAATACATTTAGTACAACAAAATCACATATTGTGTAAATCGTTTCTGATCTGATATTCTTGCAAAGATATGGTGTATTAACCAATTCTAACTTTGATCTTCTTGCTTCTTTGTACATACTTGTGAAACACTCACAAAGTCGTTGACTTAGTGGGGCATATAAAGTGCATAATAAAACATAAAGCACTTAATCATATTCTAATCATTTCATAAAATCATATAAAGAAACCATATAACACATCATAGAACAAAAGCATATATGTATGTATATATATATATATATATATATCTCATCATCAAACACTGTTATTTTATACCATTTCTTTTAATAACCCATGGTACATCATTGAGAACTTAAGGTATGTGAGTGCATTGAGGTTGTGCACTAATGATGTCACCACAGCTCGTATAAATTGCACCGAAGTGCCGTGTAGAATATGCACCGAAGTGCCGCGTAGAATATGCAACGAAGTTCCACATAGAAATGTCCCGAAAGACCACATAGATATGTCCCGAAGGACCGCGTAGAAATGTCCCGAAGGACCACATAGATATGTCTCGAATGACAGCGTAGAAATGTCCCGAAGGAACCACATAGAATTTTCCCGAAGGACCACATAGAACCCTTGACTCTTAGCATGCCAATTATACCTTTAGCTCTCATATCACATACTTTTAGGCTTTACTGTTTATATATTTCACATAGCTTATATCACATAGACAAATAATCACATAGATCATGTCACATAGTTTATATCTCATTTTCATATAATCACATAGATCATATCATATAGCATGGAATAAAAATAATGCATGTTCACTTAGTATCATAATTAAAACTATGCTCATAATCATATAAACATACAATCATATCATTTCATAAACTTTCAAACATTGTTTTTAATCAATTATCAAAAATAGACTCATCATAAGTCTTCTTTCCATAAGACAATATATATAGTAGTATGCACTCACCTTAGCCTCACTTAGTCAAAGAAAAAATCTTATCTCTCTCATGGTCAATCTTATATTGTCGATTCACCTAGAACTTGCTTTCGTTCGATATCTACACAAATATACTATCGAAATAAATATCAGAATTCGAATCACTATTAATCGATCATCAATAACTTAAGTCAAAATAAAAAACACTTAATTCACAATTTCATTCTGAATAGTATCAGTACCCTAAGCCTAGTACCGATACTTCCTCACTAAGGTATCGACACCCAATCGACATTCTGGAATTCAACTTCTAAAAATGGTATCGATACTTGTCCATTAGTATCGATACTCTTTTAAGGATTCCTCAAATTTTACCTTATGGTATCGATACTGTTCTTCCAGTATCGATACCCAAACCTAGATTTCACCCATTTTGCTTTGGATTATCAGTAATGTTCATCTAGTACCGATACCCCTTGCCCAGAATTTACTCGATAAATTTGAAAATTGACCAAAACTCAACTAAAACCCTCATTATTAACTCTTTTAAGGACTCTAAACTCTAATACACTTATTAAAACTAACTTATCTCACTTTAACAGACTTAAACATCCAAAATCCCACATAAGCACTTGAAACTAAAATCATCCTAATTATTCAACTTTGTTATTAATCCTTTTTAACCTCTTAAACCTCTTATTATGACTGATGACAAGTTAAATATGACCTCAAAATCTATTTAATAACTCTTTCTCATCAATTCACTCAAAAACGCCTTTTACTTAATCACCTATAATTTATTCATCATTTAGTTTCTACTTCTCTTTAAGCTTTCTCAAGCTTCCCTAACACTCCAATAACCAAAACCAATCATAAATTACAAGAAATAACCAGCTAAAAGATTTCTTACCTTAGCTATGGAGTCACGGTGGAGAGTAGAAAGCAAGGATGAAGAAAGAAATAGAGAAATTTCTGGATTCCTTTTACTATTTCTTCCATTGTCCCACGTGTATTTAAAAGGCCATATTGAAT